TGACACCGAAACATGCTCACCCGGTGTCTGAACTAGGACGTCAGTCCTACTCCCGGATACTCACCTCCAACAGGAATTTGGAGGCGTGAGAAACACCATACGAAACTACTACTACTTAGGAAAATCAAATGTATCTATTTTCCTTTAAAAGAAAAAGTTCAAAAGCTGATGTTATATTCTTTGGTAAAACTGGTATTTTAATATTTTTGTTTTGGGTGGCGCCTTTGCGACACTTAGGGTAAATGGTCAAGTTAAAAACCCCAAGGCTTCAAGCATAGTCATCACTAATTTAGAGCTTCTGACGAGCATCAAAGAAACTATTCAGAAGCATTTGAATCCTATTATATAAATGTATGCCATAAATCGAATAGCAGTACTGACTGTTACGTTTATAACACTCCAACGAATGAAAGTGCTAAGCGTTTTTTGTGAAATATAGTGGGTTTAAATCCTGGACTTTCGGATCTCTAATCCAACTCGCTAACAATTAGGACAACATGCTCACTTTAATTTGAAACTCAAATTTTAGCCACAGCATTACTTGGTGGTAATGCGCAAAATGCAATTATATTCTTAGGGCTGGACAACAGCAAACACTAGGACAATGATTAGATAATGGAAATACTAACATATTTATTATATGTGCCAAAATTAATGCATATACAATAAATGCACCTTATATACGAGTCTATAGAACTTGCAACAAATGTACGACATGGATTGAATTTTGAATAACACTGAAACAAATTAATGATAATATAAAATATTTCAAATTCCAAGTCAAAACTGTTAACAGAAAGAACACAATGGGATTTGTTTGTTTTTAGCACAGTGAAACAAATAAGCATAAACTATAAATTAAAAACAACACAATCTTTACGCAGATAATCAAGTAAACATCTTTTAACAATGAAACTGGGGAAGAAAAAATTGTGAAGATGGCTTTTAATTCGAACCACGAGATAAAGTTACGTTTCTTTAAAGATCGAACCTCAAGATACACATTTAGCTCTTATGTTTTAATATACACCTTTTAAAGAGGGAATCTGTTTTACATTTTATTATAAAGTCTAATAGGTTGCATGTTTTACTTACCGTTTCAGTTAAAAGCTCCATATTATAAACTGTATGTTAAAAATACTTTTGAACATTATACATGCACGTTTGCGGGCTTATCTATCTTTTTAGCATCCATGTTTCTTTAATGTACATGATACATAGTTAACTTTTCAGTTTTTAATTTTTTGCTCTTTTAAATTATTATTTACGAAAAAGAAAAATACACAATATTTAAATTTTTTCCATATAAGTTTGGATCAAACCTTGGTATTTCATTAACATATGCCCTTATACCTTATAACAAATACATTTTAATTGTGTTTTTCCTTACACTCTCACAAGTTATAATAGATATTCGCCCACGGTCTGGCATGTTTGTAGTGAATGCGATTATGTAGTGATCTCATGAATCTTTAACAGTCTGAACCAAATCAAAACTCCATCACTCTGATAACTAGCTCAGGAAATAAGAATCACCATATCCTTTCATTTCTAAGTGTTTAGACTCTATGTTATACAAATATCCTAAGTGTTGAAATCGAGCGACCAACACAAATAATTTTATTTCACCAAGAAAGAGAAAGGGGACTAATTCTCTTTTGGCTTTCAAATTTTGCAACTTTATTAAATGCTCAACTCCCTCTGCCACCCTAACTGCAAAAATCTAGTGAATATCAAATAGTCTGCACTTTAGAAATATCACTTCACTCCACAAGGTAGCTGTCAAAGTAAGAATTGCTATGTTAGTTTATCCATTTCAGACAATCCTAAGAAGTACTTCATATCATTCCCAGCCCTAGCAGTTTATAATTGATGTTAATACTTTGACTCTCAAACAGTTGACTATTCTGCTATTGGATCTTCCTTTTCTGACTCATTGTGGACAGACAGAGAGGTACTTGCAGCAACTTCATCATCAGCCATATTGAGATAATGACACAGTAACTTTAGTGTCCTTTAACTCATTTATTTTCACAACCTAAGAATTCTGCTCTATCCAATGCACAATAGGTTTGACACTGTAATGTGACTTTATTTTGTTATTTTGCCCACATGTATTCTCATTTCATCTGCCTACTGCAGCTCAGTTTCACAGAGTAAGTGTTGGAGCGTGGGATAAGAACATTCCAGCCAGAATTAAACTGCTTCCAAGCTGCAGGTGTGTAACAAATCCAAACTCACCTCAAAGCTCAAAATTTAATTACCTTCCTGTCTTGTCCTAGCTAGCATTATTTTTTTTATATATGCTACTTTACAGTCTATGTGTAAATTCGTATGAATCACCACCTAATGCAGACCATATACACTCCAAGCATTCCTTTACACACTGTAATACTATACTAGTGAAAAGTCATAAATCTCATCCCCTAGAAACTGTACATCCTGACAACATTTATACAGTTCAGTCAAGAATTCCCAACTTTAAAAGCATACTCCTGACAATCTGTATAGCCCATACAGCCATAACTATTATACTACGCATGATATGGTGCAGTATAAACATCTTCATTACATCTAGCACTCAGTGAAACTCTGCAAAAGACTCATTGTTTAAGTTTCTTCATTGATCCATGTGAATTTCTCTAAGTGCTCCTAAATGTATCATCATCTGTCCTGCAAACTTATCAGCACACTTTGTGAAGTAAATATTAACAATCACCAACACATATTCATTACTATTTCTTTATGAAAGAATCACTACTGTCTAGAGCTATTATTTGCAAAGGAGAACTGATGGAGTTTTTCTTGGCATGGATGGTTTTTCATCTGGGTGGAATACTATCTCTCAATATCTTGCACAATTCATTGAAGAAAAGTGCTTAACAGTTGAACACGAAACACCTTGCTGTTCTCCAGTCCTTCCATCACAATGAATGCCAAAGTATATCCTACATTGAAGTCCTCAGAACCAATAGGTATATCACAGATCTGATATCATAATTATGTGGTTCAATGGAATCATACACTTGTAATACAATAAGTAATATATCTATTGTGCATTATACTCACCAATCTGGATGAGTTGCATGTCATCTTGCTTTACGACAAGTTGCACACAAGTTAAATTGGATCCTTCGGTTGTTTTTCCTGAAAATCTTGATTTATCATATCTCGAGTCCTATCACTAAAGAAATAATCACTGCCTAAATAGTTCACCATAACTGTTGCTGTAATAGCTTGCACAGCTGCATGAAGTTCGTAATCGAAGCATCAAAAACTATCTCTCAACATTTGGAGAGATAATCCACATCCATTACCATTTTGATACTTCAGACAATATAAGTAGTTTCCTACAATGTCGTAATCCTACATGCAATCATGCCTTCTGGATATTTACCAAAGCCCGTTCCCTTGGCTGTGGTTTCGCTAGAACCTCTAATACATTCACAAGTTTTAGTCTATAAATAACCTTGACATTTCCCTTCTTCCACGTTATTATCATTAGTGGAACATTCTTTAAAATTTATATCACTTTGTCTTTTAAAATATACTCTATTTTAGTGCAGGCAAATACCTGATGTTCCTAGGAAGCCTACATGGTGATTGTTATATAAGATGCACGTCACCTATGTCTATGCCATAATGAGTGAATGTTGATATACTCTTTTGGCCATCTAGCCCTAGAAGCACATCATAAAAATCTACCAGAAATTGAATAAGTTTATCTAACTGTAACAATTCTATAGTGCCTGTACAATCTACAGAGTGACCTCAGATTCTTTTGTAGCTGTGTATTTTGTCTTGGATGCATTATAACTATGCAACATTAGCTATACAGTTAGCATCAGTCAGTTTTGTCCCTCTCATTATGTTGAAAACCTTTTCAGATGAAAGCTGAATGGTACATCTTGGTATCATACGCTTGAAGTTAAAGTACTGATTAGCATTGAATTAAGAGTAAGTTAAGCCCAAAACACACCTCTATATATTACAGATATGTAAAAGTTCATCATGGTGTAGTTTTCATATAAGTGGGATAACCGAAAGCCTGTGATTCCAACATTTAAGGTATAACGAATAAATAGTGGTGTCTATTAATGTATGCCCCACATCGCTCAGTGGTAAGTCTGTGAACTTACAATGCTAAAAATTGGGCTTCAATACCCATGGTGGGCACACTTTGACAGCTTATTGTGTAGTTTTGTGCTTATCAACAAATAAACAAATTACTAGTGTGACCAGTTCTTAATCATTTTATTCAGTTGCAGACAAATATATTGGCATCTTATACTTAATATACCTTAAGCAAAGCTTAACAGGTTAAGAATAATTATTTAGAAAACTTTAATCACTTTTAATAAAACAAAAACGAAAAACACACACTTTCTAAAAATGTAAGAAATAATCTCTATCAAGAAACAAACAAACTTATTTTATTTAAAATATTCATTCAAGCCAAGTATTGATACCCCTACTTTAGTATTTCATGTATCCTCATTTTGCTTTTATTACAGCTTTCAGGCATTAAGATAATTCTCAACCAATACATTACATCTTGTTGGAGAAATCTTGTCCCATTCAATCTTGCACATTTTCTTCACCTCAAGCAGATTGGAAATACAATGCTTGACTACAGCTTTTTTCAGATCAGTCCAAAGCATTTCTAACAGATGTAATTCTGGTGATTAAGGTCATTCTATTTTTTTTTCAAGAATTCTAAAATTAACTCAGCTGTACACTTTGGTTCATTAAAATCTTGAGTGATAAACCTGTTACCAATCAGCCTATGAGCATATGGTATCGTTGTTTGTCTGTTTTGTTGAACTTTGTGCAAAGCTACTCGAGGTCTGTCTGCACTAGCCATCCCTAATTTTGAAGTGATGGACAATAACAAAGGCAGCTTGTCAACACCATCCACCACCAACTCTTGGGCTACTCTTCATCAACAAATTGTGAAATTGACCATCACATTATAATGTCCCATGCCTGAAAGAGCAAGTATATTCGGTGATGGAGCAGATGGTATTATTGTACCTTATAGAATATTTTGATACATGGCTGCATTCATTCATTCTTCAATCACATGAATGTCTCCAGTCCCAGCACTACTAAAAAAATCCTATTTCATGATCGAACTTCTTACGTGTTTAATTGTAGGTGTAAGGAGTTCTTCATTAAATTACAAATTTGTTCAGGAAATAAGGAGAGCAATTTTGAAGTAGATAACTTATCTGTGTAAAATAATGAGACAGATAAAGTCAGTAGAAAGGGCATACAATTTTTTATAATTTAACAAACAAACAAAATACACTACTTACGAACACAAAAAGACAGCCGCTTCTACCAGATATTTTGATACATGGCTGCATTCATTCATTCTTCAATCACATGAATGTCTCCAGTCCCTGCACTGCTAAAAAATAACCTATTTCATGATCGAACCTCTTCCGTGATTAATTGTAGGTATAAGGTGTTCTTCATTAAAATACAAGTTTGTTCAGGAAATAAGAAGAGCAATTTTGAAGTAGATAGCTTATCTGTGTAAAATAATGAAACAGATAAAGTCAGTAAAAAGGGCATACAATTTTTTATAATTTGACAAACAAACAAAATACACAACTCACGAACACGAAAAGACAGCCACTTCTACCAGGCTAAGCTTTGTCCCACAGCTTTCTTTCTCTCAGGATTAATCTCTATAGAAGTAATCACAGTAATATTTATAAAAGTGTTACTCAACTAATCTCCCAGTAGAAATGAACCAAGAAAGCATTCCTTAATTCAACAGGTAAGCTCGGTTTCTTTTCCAGTTGATGGCATCACTTTGTAACCTTTGTTTGCTCATAACACTGGTTACTGTTATAATCAGGTAACAAAAACTCAGACAGCAAAGGATATTATAGGACTAATACTTTCATCCCAGATGCTTTATGTTGTTGCAATATCCTCTTTGACAAGCAACTAGAATAAGGCATTCTCAAAAACTTTCATGATCAGTGTTCTTGCTAAAACTGTATGCAAACTAAATAAACAAATAAATGAAAGTCTTAAAACTTCTATATCATTAAAACAGGTAGAAAACACATGTTCTATCTCCATATCATACTTCAAAATTATATCCTTTCCTCATTTTTATTTCTTTCACATTCGTGTCATCAACTATAACTCTACTAAATTTGCAGTATTATTGAAGGATTCGCTAAAATTACAAATGTTGGAAGTTTTGAAACTTTGAGAACAATCGAAGAAATATAGAAATTAACCATATCAATCTGCTATATAAAACATCTGATGCTAACAAGCGAGCAAGATTACCAAATAAGGACAGAACAAACTTGAAATACATTACAGGAGTTAGCTAGAAATATGAGAAGTAGCAACTAGTGGTTCTGCTTATTAGCTCCCAACATAACTTTGAGAGAAAGCAACAAGTGGAATAATATGTGTAAAAACACTGAAATTAATAAGTCTGTATCCATAAATTCTGAGTTAGAGGGTTCAGATATCTATGCCCATATCATTAGATAATTGCCTAGAAATAGTTCCATACAATCCAATAGTTACGGTTTTGGTTTGATAGAATGCTGCAAAAATAGAAAACAGATTAAAAGAATCACATGCAAAATTGGGCAAGCTGATCTTCATTATAAGTCGTAGTCATACTAATTAAGTAGTATAAAATGCTATTATTTTGGTTCTGGGTGCAACTCCTCACCAGTTCTTGACTTGTTCAGCTATCCTGTAGCTCTCCAACTGATCCAGAATTGTCAAGGATTTCTGATGCACCTTCAGATCCAGAATTTCCATAATACAATCTTGCAAATATTCACCACACAAACTCCTTGCAAGCAGTTAATGCCATCTCTTATCTGGTTTAACAACATTTGTAATAAATAATGTATAATGTCAGAGGAAAGAAGAGTACTAAATATTAACTCTGCTGCAGATTTAACTAAGTTAATAGATGTTGTAACAAAGTTATTAATAAATATATTGGAAGAATTATTATTGCACTTGTACAGGTAAAATTATGTCTGACAGAATATCTCGGGAGAACTCGGTTGATAACTTGTTTTTTGTAGTTTCAATGTTAATAAATATAATAGGTCTAATTAATGAACATATTGCTGTTCAAAACGAAGAGTTTAATAATTTTGATATCAAACTTTCTCAAGACAGTTTCAGGAACTTTGATGTAGATGAGTATATAGATTTTGTGTATTAAAATTATTTTATGTTTCTGTTAAACAGTCTCTGAGTGAATTACTATATTTTAAACCTATACTTCCTCAAGTGGAGGCTTGATTACTTAACCCAAAATGCATAACCTGGCATTAAACAAATTTATTTGTAACTGATGCAGAGTTGAACCAAACAACTACATCCATGGTGGGCTGTTATAAATTGGCACAGTGCATCAGGATTTTGGGCAACCAACAACAGGTTCTGAGGAAGAAAGAAAGAAGCACAAATAAGTTAAGTCAAAATATTAAGTAGTGTAAGTAGACATAAATGGTAACAAATGAGTAGATATAGCTACTGCTGCTGAAGATATCAAGATAGAGGAGGGTGTGCGACCAAGAACTGACAGACAGGCTGGTGTAAATTTTGAGGCTACAGCACTAGGAGGACCACGCAGCACTACACATTTAACGAGTGCTATACTGCTGTTTCACGTAGATTTGATGAAAATATCAAGAGTTTTATTGATGCAGTTAATGAAGCTGCTACAATATCAAGGTGGACAGATGCCCAAAATGTTGATATATTTAGACTAAGAACAGCATGAGAGGCAAAACGCTACTTCAGGGCATATAATGAACTAAAAGAAACCATGAATTTTCAGTGTCTAGAGCACAGATTAACACAAGAGTATAGAAAATGAAAGAAACCTAACACAATAATTACACAGATTCATAGTTTAACCCAAGAGTGAGGAGAATCAGTTAACATATTCAGACACAACTTACAAGAGGTAGGTAACAGACTTCACAGGGCATATAGACACCCTAATGAATAAATGATACAAGAAGCTATAAAGTCAGACTATGAATGAGGTCTGATTAGTAACATAACAAGGAGAAATGTAAACAAAGCAAACACACCCAACACAACTCTGCTAGACTTAATTGAGGTAGCCATTAGATCTCAGAAGCATAGTGACTTGTAAAAGTGTGGACCTTTATTTTAATCTGAATAACCATTACTGGTGTTTTTTTGGAAAAAACACCAATTTATTTTTTGTATCGGGGGTGTTTCTCAGTTAAACCAAAAATTAGAAGCTCTGCATACTTGTTAGCTTTTGGATCAAGATATCCCAACTAGATATGAAGATAGAGCTCAATAGAACTTTGTAACCTGACTGTCCTTACATTTGTGGTGACTTTTAAAATACACATTAAATATCAGCCTAGTTGTTACTAAGCAAGAATTAGCTTCCATCTTGGCCAGTAGTCCCTATTTATAATACACACACTGGATCATTTCAGATGATAACTATTAAGCAAAGAGCTGGTCCTGAGCTTGGTGGGGAATAAATTATTCCCAAAATAGTTTTGCTTACTAATAAAGTATTATAATGGTTAACAGTGCAGTATCTCATTATAGTATGGGCCACAATTCAAGCTTCTGTGGGCTTGACGTGGCCTACCAATAGGGGACCACTATCCTATGGTAGTCTTAATCATTCCTAAGTTTTACTACTTGATGCTGTTATTTATCTCTTTACTGTTTTATACTTGCCCCTTAACCTTTATGCAAGTTTTAAAGATAAACACATACATGTAGACGAGTAGGCTTATCCTGAAAACATTCTCCACAGCAAATTCTCAAACTGTAGTATGCATAACACTGGTGCTACATGGAGCTATTGTGACTAGTACACAAAAATTGAATGTAAAAATGCAACAATGGACAGTTATCTCAGTTCTGGTTGATACTGAAGAACATTGTAGGTCTGTAGCTGAACAACTTCATAAACGTGGATAAGAAACCACTTAACTGTGAGAACTATAGAATATTCTGCACACTTCTTCATAAAATAAAAAAGACTTAATGAAACTTATTGTAAAGATGATTTTAAAAATGTTTTTCAAATGCCCCTTTAACAGTTTTGTGAAAGTTAGACAACAGTACAAATGATTATCTGATACCCCTATAAAAATGTTAACACTTGCCATACAAGCCAGGCCAGCATCTTAAATGTATCAAAAAAATATGATTCATTGCAGAAAAGTTTGGATTGTTTTGATTAAACAAAAAGAAGATATTCTGCACTATTTTTGAGGCCTAGGTCACTGGACCAAACCTGTGATCTGATCTGAGAGCCAACATGGAGAAGTTAACTTGTAAATGTAAAATAAAACAATGTAGCAAAGAAACATGCTTGAAATGTTCTAGATGTAATTATAAATGTGGTATTTTAAGTGTAGCGATTAAGCTAAACCTTGGATCCACATCAGATGAAGGAAAAACTCATTTGAAGATATGCAATCGATTTGACATACCAGCTGAATTGGAGATTCATCACTTGATTACTGCATTAACAGTGAAACATAAAAAAACGAGTACAATAGCATCATTATCTTTAAAAAGAGGGATTGGAATCATATATAAGAAATTGTTACGTCTCCGTTTGTTAATTAACTTTCCGTAACTTCGTTCCAACGAAATTTTAACGACACAAGTCTTTACTTAATAAAACTGGTTTATTCTTTTCGAATATAACTTTACCGATACACTCAACTTCAACAATCGCGCTAAACAAACGCTATAACAACTAACGTCAATAATACTTCTGACTGCAGTTCAATTACTCATTATCTACACACACATTACATTACCTTCCTCTCGCGTCACGTTGTCCCCTCTTATATATACCCGCCTACCCTATATCTAGTAAGAACTATTTCTAGAATTATCCTGTACTTTGGCGAATGTTCCTCACGCTCTCTACGTTGCGTCATCGAGATCATGTGATTTTTCGATACCAGTGGTGGGTAGAGCACTGTTACGTCTCCCTTCGTTAGTTAAATTTCCGTAAATTTGTTCCGACGAAACTTTAGCGACACAAGTCCTTTCTCAAATAAAACTGGTTTATTCTTTCTGAATACAACTTTCCGATACACTTAATTTCAACAGTCGCGCTATAACAAACGCTATAATTCACCACGAACGTCTCACGTGCTCAACAATATTCTCATTCATTCAATTACACACACTGTTGCCGTCAATTTGTGACCGTCTTATATATACAAGACTACGCTATATCTAGAAGGATCCCGAAATTTAAGGAAAGGACGTGAATGTTCGAGAACGACGTGGCGTGATACTAGTCACGTGACCTCTGCTGACGCAACAGCACATATAGCCCTTTATGTAGCTTAGTGCTTTACTACAAACAAACAAACAAACAGTCTTGTATAAACCAAACTCTCCTGTGGTCCCTTGCGACTTATTAGTGGTTTGAGAGACTTACATGAAAGGTTAGTTTTAACCAGACTAATGCTTACAGTAGAGTGGATTTCAGTGCATTCTCATAGCAAGTTTATTTCGAACAATTTGATTTATTTAGAGCAATGCGATGGCAGATTCAATCAAATAAATGTATATAGTGGTAGTGCACATCTGTACATTGCATTAATACAGGTGCACATGAAGGAGTTAGAGGAAACATTGCAGGAGTCTCTTTTCATTTATGGGTATAATTAACCAGTTAAGTCATTATGTTTTGTATTATTCTATGATGTGAATTGCGTTTAATTTTTCCAATTGGTTTTGGCATGTTATCACCACAAGTGTAATGTTATTGGTGCACACTGTAACACTGCTCCGGCACCTGAATTTGGAGCTGAGTCCCGACACCACAGAAACTAAGAATATGTACATACAAAATAAGTTGTTCAGTTTACACCCGAAATTAAGTGTCTTACATAAACAAATTCTCAGAGTTTTAGGGAACATTCTGGCTGTTTGTGATCCCAGATATCCACTGATAGAGCTTTCTCAGAATACGTGGCACACATTTTGTCACTCTCCTTCAGGAGCTGGTGTTAGACATGGAGCGACCACTTTCGGATCAAGAGCAGGTTTCAGAGCGTTAAGATGATAAAAATGTATTGTATTACATGTTACATAGTTATTAAGACACGAGTACTTATGCAATTAAAAGAACTATGTGTGTCATTCAGGCCGTCGCTGTTTGCGTGCTATCTCACATGGAAACCCATAATTTCTATAGGCTAATTGTACAATGGTACTTTTACGTTTAAACGAGTGCAAACCTGAACGAAGTTTAAAGGGAATTGTTCTATACGAATGCAAAATTACTTATACTTCATTAGTTCCAGGTTTACAGTTGTGATATCGTGAGATGTTACATCGTGACTTTATTTTAGGCCTGTGTAAGGCGGTAATTAATTCTTTATGTTATTGTCATTAAGTGGGTAATGAGTCACAAAACAAATAATCAAAACATTTCAGAGGTGGGGGCGTCAAAAGTGTCTTTGTCCCCGGGTGCTTAGAACCCTTGCTATTCCACTGATCGGGACTACTTTAGGTGAGTTGCTCTATCTTCTTCCAACTAAATTGTAAATTTTATGTTTACTGTATATGTGTATATTTATAGCAAATCATACTTGATTTATGCTTTTGCAGTGTATATATTTGAAAGCGCTTAGATACTATTTTCATCATGAGATCATACATTTGATTTTGAGTGAAGAAACATTGAAATTCATGAAAATGATATACAAGTTATTTCGTAGGAAACGCAACTGTATATATTTATTGCTTACAGCTAAACAAGATGCATTTCTTCAGTCAGACTAAAAGCTTGTTGTAAGAATAATCTGTCAATTACATAAAAACATGAAAAGAAAGTTGTCAAAACTCATATGTATGTCTTAGCAAAGAAACATACAAAGATTTGTAGCCCCAAAAATTTGATTTGTTTGTTTTGAATTTCGCGCAAAGCTACACGAGGGATATCTGCGCTAGCCGTTCCTAATTTAGCAGTGTAAGAGTAGAGGGAAGGCAACTAGTCATCACCACCCACCGCCAACTCTTGGGTTACTCTTTTACCAACGAACAGTGGGATTGACCGTCACAATATAACGCCCCCACGACTGAAAGTGCGATCATGTTTGGTGTGACGGGGAATCGAACCCTCGACCTTCAGATTACGAGTCGAGCGCCCTAACCACCTGGCCATGCCGGGCCATAGCCCCAACCAGAATGACAAAATATATTTTAAGAGTTAATTGTTTTTTATTCATACTCCTGAATCATAATCATTATTCATAATCACTGATCAGGAGGCATTTCGTCAAATGCTAGGAATCTTCAATTTGTAGGCCTACAAAATCCTCATAGCTTCGCCAGCTTATATATTTCATAGCACTTATATACAGAGCCTTTGTTGTTCTTATCCGCTAAGATCATTAAATACTAAATCATTTATTATTTACAGTCTTTAAACTCAGTTAAATGGAGTCTAAAGTTTTAAATGATAAACAAATTAGCATTTTCGTGTAAATATATCACAGAGTTTTATTCAATGTTTGGTCTTCCCAAGTTGATGAGTCTTAAATCACATTAAGTTCACAACTGTATAAGATACTTACTGTAATCTTGTTAAACCGGGCCCTACTAGGTGTACTTACATAATTTGTAAACCATTTTGATATTTATGTCATCCAGTATTGTTCAAAGTCACATAGCTAGAGTAATCTTTCAAGCATGCAGAATAAATTTTGTTATATCCCTAGTTTTGAAACTTATGTTTTATATGAGAAGCCAGTCACTTGTGGTGTACATGGATTATAAAACAGATTGATAAAATATTACTTAAGTTTACAAATAACAAATGTTATTAGTTTACAAAACTGTACGCATACTTAACTAGATCTTGTACAGGTAGCATTCTGGTATTCATATTTACATTATATGAACCTTTCGTGCTTTTGCTGCTGCAAATGCATCAATTAAACTATCAAAATTTAAGGTATTAAGTACGTCTTTTTCAATACTTAATATTGCCAAGTTACTAAGTCGTTGTTGAGTCATTAAGGTTCTCAAGTATGTAAGAATTAATTTGAGCTTGCTGAAGGACCTTTCACAACTAGCAATAGAAACCCCAATTGTTAACAAAATCAGCAATGCAATTCTCAAATTTCGGAAAACATCTTCACCATATGAAATTATAAATGTTAGCAAATCAGTTGCAACCATTGGTTCAGGAAAATCAGTCTGTGTTATTTTACTTATCAACATTCTGCAGTCTTTAATTTATCTGTACAATTCTGGTCCACCAATATCACCTGGGTAGCTCTTTTTTAAGTCAGAACATTTTTTCTTCCAATTTTCGTCTTCGAAATCTCAAGAAACAATATTTTGCACATTTAGTAGAAATTCAAACCGTGAATCTAATAAGCGAGAAAATCTTCCTGTTATTTCTGTAATCAAGCGATCAATAACATCCCTCACGATGCGATAAATTTCCTGTTCAGCAGTCAATCCAGCATCAGCTGCATTTTCACCTAGCATTCGTTTAAGACGCATTTTTCTTCTTCAATGGTCAATCCCCATGTTTCACATTGATTCTTGCCCACTTTAAGTGCTTATTGACAGGACTTTTCACGTGATTCTATCAATTTCTCTTTTAAAGAATGAAGATCAGCAGCTGCTTCTCTAAAATTCATTTTTGGGTCCTGAAGACGTTTCTGCACTCGATTGATAGATGATAAAAGATTTCTCCAAAATGTAAAATTAAATGTAAGCATGCGTTGCAGAATATTTTGAGCACCACATTTTGTTTCAGCCGTATTGCCATTCCCACTTAATTGCTCTAACAGTCCTAGCCTTTTCTCTTGCACTCCACCGTGTTTCTGATTCACTCTCGACAGAGATCTTAAGTTCCTGCTGCACTTTGTCCCATCGAGTTGTTGAATGAACAAAGAAATTATAAATGGCTTCAATTATACCAAAAAAGGTAATAACTGTTCTTTCCTGACTTGCAGCATGAAGACATGCTAAGTTCAAACTACGGTTGTCACAGTTTATAAACACTGCTTTTGGATTTTTGCTCAGAATTCTTTGTTAAACGCCTGACAGATGACCTGACATAACAGCAGCATTATCATAACATTGTGAACAACAATCACTCAATAAAATTCCATCCGCTTCTAATTTTGTGCTTATTGTTTTCTCAATATTGGCAGCATCTTTTTCCTTTATCTGTATAAAGTCAATAAATGACTCTTTGACTTCTACTTTTCTTGTCTTAAAGTCAATGTCAACAAACCGAATCACTTGGGCCAACTTCTCACGATGAGCTAAATCAGGTATGGAATCAAACAGAATACCATGGTATTTGTTTCTACGAATTGCTGACAAACAATAATTGCGCACATGTGCAGCCATGAGATTTATAAACTCATTTGGAATTTCAAAAGAAAGATAAGATGTTGACGTTTGCTTGTTTCTAACACGCTCTAAATGATCTCTCATTACTGGATCATACTTTGCTAATAACTGCAAAAGTGACAT